GCAGTTCATGGTACCTTCAATATTGCAGCTATTGAAAATACCAAGGCTTGGGTCAGGCGCACCTTACGTTGAGGTGCAACCCATACTGAAGACTGTGGTCTTTGTATGTTTCAATGTTCAATAATCTGCAAAACATCTTACAACATGGATGAAGCTAGGTGAAAAGGACAAATATTGTATGAGACCCATGTTGTAAAAAGGTTTTACAACAGTTAAATCTGTTACGAAAAGTTTTTTTTGATAAAGGAAACATTCTACAATGGTTACCCGGGGGTGAGGGAGGAAAAATTACTCACAGGCTAGAGGGTAGACACATGTTAACATGGGTGACAAGGCAGGCATCTATAAGAAGAGGGTGGTTGGCAGAGGAAAGATAAAGGTAGCGGAGACACAGAGAGGAAGGCAAGAGTTAAAGCGAATAGAGGTAAATACTGTTAACTGATGATCCATGGAAAGGATTGTAACCATCGTTAGGATATGAACTGTATGGTTTGCTGAATGTAAACTTGATGATCTGCTCTTTAAACCTTCACTTGATTCACAAGAAAAAGCTTAAAAACAACAAAAGAAGGAGCTTAATCACAGGAGGTCACTAAGCTAGGCAGAGATCCATCTACAGAGCAGTCAGCACAGTAACGATCCACCAGAATGAGCGAGCGCTCTGGAAGGGTCATTGTGTTCTTCCCTTCCCAGTCCCTCGTGCCTACAACAAAGCCAGACCCAATGTAGGTATCTCAGGAAACATTTCCTGAGCAAGATCTCTGTTGCATTAATATTGATGTGGCCAAACCCGACAATATCGCTACTTGGGGTCGATGGCAGGGGCCGAGTGTGGTTTGAGAAGAGAGTTCCAGTCTCATTTACTGGACTAAGAGGAGGCAACAGATGCACACAGCAGGCAGGCGGCTCCCATAGCATCAGGGCCTTGTAGCATTCTTTCCTCAGTAAAGCGACTCACATAGTACACTGCCAGAAATATTTAAAAATCGACTATGCTCCTTTAAATCACAGTGAAATGGAACACATACAGATCCGTATCTTAGACAACAGTGAGCTGAAATGGACACTTGTGTTGGCCATTCTTAGTTGGATAATCAAAGGGTTTACTATGCTGGGAATAACAAATTGAAAATGAATGGTATAGTATTCATGATCAAAAAGAACATTTCAAGATAATAATAATATCCATTCGCCTGAGAGGAAGTTAACACCACTATTATTCAGATTCACACACCAACCACTAAAGTCAGTGAGGATGAAGTTGAAGAATTCTACCAACTTCTTCAGTCTGAAATTGATCAAACATGCAATCAAGATGCATTGATAATTACCGGCGACTGGAATGCAAAGGCTGGAAACAAAGAGGAAGGATCAGTGGAAGGGAAATACGGCCTTGGTGATAGGAATGATGCTGGAGATCACATGATAGAATTTTGTGAGACCAAAGTTGTTCACTGCAAGTAGCTTTTTCCAACATTGTAAAAGGTGACTATACACATGGAGCTCACCAGACAGAACACACAGGAATCAAATTAAATTAACTGTGGGAAGACACAATGGAGAAGCTCAGTATTATCAGTCAAAACAAGGCCAGGGGAAAACTGGAACAGACCATCAAATGCTAATATGCAAATTCCGGCTGAAGCTGAAGAAAATGAAAACAAGTCCATGAGAGCCAAAAGATGACCTTAAATATAACCCACCTGAATTTAGAGACCAGTATGGCACTGTGGGTTAATGTACCAGACTGCAAAGCCATTTGAACTGCAAGGTTGGCGGTTCAAGCTCACCAGTTGCTCCTTGGAAACCCTGTACAGGGTCGCTATGGGTCGGAATTGACTCGACAGCACTTAACAACAAACAATCAAGACCAGATTTGATGCATTAGACACTGTTGATTGAAAACCAGAAGAGTTGTCAGTTTGAGGACTAAGCTGTGCCTGACCCAAGTCACAGTATTTTTCAATTGCTGTTAGCATAGTGGTTACGAATTAGGCTACTAACCTCAGGGTCAGCAGTTCGAAACTACCAACAATGTTCCGCGGGAGAAAGATGTGGCTTTCTGCTCCCATAAAGATTTACAGCCTCGGAAACCCTGTACAGGGTCGCTATGAGTCAGAACCAACTCCACAGCACACAACAACAACAACACTGTTTAGTAAGTGCTCACTAATGTCATGCATTGGAATTTGTCATTTTATTTAAGCTTCACAACAATCCAAAGATATATATACATGTATGTATTTTACATCTTCATCTTCCCGGTGAGGGCACTGAGTCCTAGGGTGAAGGTTAAGTAATTGCTAATAAGCAGGGAGCTTACAGATGAACTGAGGTCAGTTTTATTTCAAAATTGATTCACTACACTTCACTTGCAGCACTGGTGGCACTGTAGGATAAGCACTGGACTGCTACCCACAAGGTCAATTGTTCAAACCTAACAGCTGCTCTGTGGGAGAAAGATGAGGTTTCTGTGCCCATAAAGATTTACAGCCTCAGAAACCCTACACATGGTCACTATGAGTCAGGGCTGACTTGACAGCACTAACATCAAATTGAAGTTGTCAAGGACTTCAGTCTTCCTGGATCAACTATCCACACTCATGGAAGCAGCAATCAAGAAATCAAACGACGTACTGCATTAGGCAAATCTGCTGCACAAGACCTTTTTAAAGTGTTGAAGAGCAAAGATGTCAGCTTGAGGACTAAGGTGCTCCTGACCCAAGCCATGGTATTTTCAATTACCTCATATGCATGCGAAAGCTGGACAGTAAATAAGGAAAACCGTAGAAGAATTGATGCTTTTGAGTTACGGTGTTGGAGGAGAATATTGAAAGTGCCATGGGCTGCCAAAAGAACCAATAGATCCGTTCTGGATGAAGTGCAGCCAGAGTGCTCCTTGGAGGCCAGGATGGACAAACTTCGTCTCTCATACTTCAGACATATTGTCAGGAGGGACCAGTCCCTGAAGAAGGATCTCATGTTTGGTAAGGTGGAGGGTCAGAGAAAAAGAGGAAGACCCCCCAGTGAGATGGATTGGCCAACTGGCAGTATCGATGGACTCAAGCGTGGCAACAGTAGTGAATTTGGCCCAGGATCGGACAGTGTTTCGTTCTCCTGTGCATGGTGTCGCTGTGAGTTGTACCGACTGGATGGCACCTGACAACAGCAACAACAACATCAAGAACAACACACTTCCCTTGAGCTAGTACCCAGCTGATTCAGTAAAGACAGTTTTACTGTGTGTCCACTACATGCCATGCACTGGATTAGGTGCTAACCACAGTGAACAAAGAGCACAGGGACCCCCGGTCCTCCTAGAGCAAAGAGTCAGATAGAGTAGCTAAGTCCAGAACAAGTGGCAAACAACTGTTGGATTAAAGGCAGTGATAAGTGTTGAAAAAGAAAAACAAGCAGCCACTGAAATAAGAGAAAACTAAGGGCAGGCCTGACAGGGTGCTTTTCAATGACTCACGGATGCCAGTCTGGTACTTCCTGGTGGCGAACAAACCAACTCTACAGGGCACCTGCAGCACCCAAGACAGGAAGTACGCACCCTTTCTAGGCCCTTGCCCCCACCTCGAAAGAGATAGATACCTGGACGATATAGAGGCAGGGACAGTACTGGGCCCCTCCTCCAATGCTGATCCCGATGAGGTTCTGAGCATCCTTCTGCAGGGTCACCTTCCCGGGCACAGTAGGGATTCCGCTAGAAAGAGAAACAAGAAGCTCAACCTCCTGAAGGATGCTTGGAGGACACAGGGTAGCGGGTGGGGCTCCTCCTGCTTCATAACCTTTGCCCCTCATTTGACCAGAAAGGCAGCGTTTTGTTCTGGAAAGTGCGCAGCTTTAGGAGTTATGCAGATGTGAGATTAAATCGTAGCTCTGCCAGTTATCAACTCTGGGATATGTGTATGTTACCCTCTCTGCATAAAATGAGGAAGCTATTTTATTACCAGTCATTGCGATGAAGTACCTGGAAGATACATGTAACAGTTCAACACAGAGCAGGTAACGCCTTAAAAGTAGCTCCCTTAACAAATCCTTACAGCAAGGATCATTTCCACCCCCTCCATACACAGAGTATAGACAGGGACGGGAAACTTGGACATTGGCTACCCAAGATGGGGAGGCTACAAAGGCAAAAAGTGACTGGCTTACAAGCTTTCAAGAGGGAACCTAGATCCAGAGGGTGTGAAGGAAGGTAGAATCTCCACTGAGTAGTATCCAATCTGTCTAGGTGGGGCTGATGAAATGAAATGTGGATAGGTCTCTTGTGATACAATAGTGAATAATTGTTATCAGGACTGCTTATGAGGGTTGGAAATGTAAAGGTAGATGGTCCCTGGGACCATCAAGGGAGAAGAGTGTAGAGCGGGACCCTATCCAGAGAAACAGTGATGCCTGAGATGGAGGTACAGACAATGACGTGGAGAGATGGAGTAGTTGGGGACTTTAGACACAGAGAGGGAGAGGGGCTGTGTGCTGACAACCGGGGGGCAGGCTTGTAGTGTATACCCTTTGGTTGTCTGATGATGCATAGAGGGGATTGTAACCATGACAATGAAACAATATACGATAGGATGAATGTAAAACTAATGTTCTCCCATGTAAACTATCACATAATTCACAATAAAACATTAAAAAAAAAAAATAGCTCCCTTTCTCTTCCCTTCATTCTGCCTCTGAGATTTCATTCAGGCTCTGTCCTTGTCACCTGCCTAGGCTCACATGGAACGTTACGGCCACCTCCTCTCAGAAGTCCTCACCTGTTCAACCCTTTCCACTTTCTACCTGCTCAACTACTCTACATCTCAGGTGTCACTACAAATTAGCCCATACTTATGTTTTATAGTAAAGAATCTTATTTATTCCATCACTAATGCAGAAAACACTTGCTAATCCCACTCTGGGAAGTGTGGTGTCTCTGTAGGATAAGCATCACAAGGTTGGTGGTTCGAGCTCTCCAGCAGTAGAAAGATGAAGCTTTTTGCTCCTGCAAAGATTTATAGCCTCAGAAATCCTACACTGGGTTGCTATGAGTCAGAAGTGACTACGCCCTACTGAGGGCTACGGACACAGTATGGCAGTGGTTGGGCCCAGTGTTTGTCCTCATGGAGGATACAACCTAACAGAGAAACAAACCTAATCTTTAAAATTTGGTTCCACTAATTGTCTTGACTGGGGAAACAGCAGAGTTATGACTTTCCTCTTCATCCTTCAAAACCAAACTCGACTGTCACCTCCTCTGAGCCGTCACTGTCTGTTACCGTGTCCTACCACCTGCAGATGGTGAGCTCCTAGACGGGCTGACCCCTTGCAGTTTCAGCACAGGACATTACCCCCTGCTGCAAAGCAAGGGGTCTGAGGAACCTGGGGTTCCTGCCCTCCCGGGCCTCGGGGGAACCCAACACTCACAGTTTATCCTCTTCGATGTCATAATCCAAGTCTGCAAACATGGTTCCAGGAGTCGGGATGGACCGGCTCACTGCCCAGCTCGGTAGGGGAATAGGGAACTGGATCGGGAGAGACAGGAGGGTAGGGGTTTAGGGAACTGAAGTGCTCGCATGTCAACCCCAGCCCTGCAGACTCGGGACAGCCAGACCTCCCACTTCCCTCAGGATGGACGGTGCCGGCCGGGGGTGGCGGTGACTCTTACTAGGTAGAGGGAGGAACTCCAGGCCAGGGTGACGGGTTCAAATCCCAAAGCCCGCCCCACGGGCCTCCAGAACCTTGGTGGCTGTCTCTGTCGCTCACCGGAAGCGTCGATCTCACAGCCGGGTCCGGGCCAGGCTGGCACCTGAACCCACCTGCCGTTCCACCTGTCGACAGCCGCGACTGTCACGTCACTTCCGGCGAGACACGGAAGTCCCGCCGTCCCTCTCCCCGAGGCACTTACCCCAATCCCTGCAGGCAGCTCTTCCCTTTCTGGCTCCCGAGGCTCCCAGAACCAGGAAAGAGAATAAGTATGGGCGGGAGCTCGCAGTTGGTTTGAAGAAGCGGAAACAGAGGAACGTTCTGGACAGGCTGACAGCGTTTAGTCCCGCCCCTCGCTCTGTCGTCGCCGCCATCTTGGTGAGGGTCGGGAGCGTCCCAGCCTCCTCCGCGGAACGCAGAGGACCACGCAGGCCCACGGTTGCCGTGGCAACGAAAGCATCCCTGAGCGGGGACCTCCCGCTTTATTCAATGAACTACAAACACCAAGATCTTCCCGTTCACACTCTAAACTCTTGGGCCTAGACCAAGTCTGCGGAGGACTCTTTTACTCGAATGATAGTGTCCAAGCTGGAATGGCGCCTTAAAATCTCATCTCAACTTTACTTTTGCAGCAGGAAACGATGTCCTAAGAGGGAAAGTGATTTTGTCCAGTGCCACCCAAAATTGATACAAGATCCAGATCTTCATCCGGAGACTCTTGGCGCCCAGTCCGGTGTCCCTTACACACTAGACTGGGAGTCAGGAGACCTGTATTCAGTGGATCTGAAACTAACGACCCATCAGACAAGTTCCCCTCCTTCATTTCCGTTTACATGCCTCAGTTTCCCCATATTCAATCCAAAGACATGGAGGTTCATGCTTCCCGTCTTCCCTTCTAGTACTAGATTGTGGTATTTAGTGACATATTCCTCACACCTCCACTTCCTTCTTTTGTTGCTGAGGAGCAGTCCTCTGGAGCCCCCTGTATCTGGGGCTCAGGAAATAGTATCCAAGGAGTCCTCTCCCTGCCAACCTCTACAGTCATTGTAAAGAAGGTGCCTCCCCAACCTAGCAGCGTGGGGCAGACCTGCCCAGCCTGTTTCCCTAGCTGCCCTATGGGCTGTGAGGGAATGGAGATGTAGGGGATGGGTTTCCACTTATCCCAGGCTTGAAAGGGAGCTAACCTGGGTCTTAGCAGATATGCACTTCTCTGCAGTACACATCCCTTCCACAGAATTTTTAAGCTTAAAGGAGAGGAAAACAAGTGTTGCCAGTCACAATTTTCAAGTGAGGAAACTGAGGCTCAGGGAAGTGGTTTCCCTTCTTGACACAGGCGGTGGTGGCAAGCCTAGGACTGGAATCCTGTGCTCCCTCCACAGGGCTGGAACCACTGAGCCCTGTGGCTAGAGCAGCATTTCTATTTTCAAGCAAGCAGCATCTTTCATCCCAGATGTTTTAATATGAACTGTAGCTCTTCCAGCCAGGACTACTTGAGCCCAAGCCTGGGCTCTGCCATTTTGGAAATGGGGGATCTTGGACAAAGTCCTTTGCTTCTGAGCCTCAGGTGTCTGTAAGGTGAGGATAATGATTCCTCCCAAAATAGTTTTTTAAAAGATGAAGACAAAAAGGAGACAAAGGTGATGAGAGTGTTTTGTAAGTGATTCCCATGGCACAGGTGTTTCTGAGTGGTTACTGTTAGGCCTTCGCCCAGCCACTTCAAAAGGTAAAGCAGATGGTGCAGTTACAGGGCCTTCATCAGATAGATGCATCAGGGAAGTACAGATTCCTGGGATCCCTCTTAGACATATTGGAGAAGAGTCGCTTGGAGGCTGCATTTTCACAAAGCTCTAAAGACAACTTCAGGGCCCACTGCAGGTTGAGGACCACTGTGTCAGGATTCAGAAAGCACAGCGTCTGTACTGAGTGGGCATGCTCGGGTCCACCACGGGTCCCTGCCCCAGAGATGTCTCACTGTCCTGGCGGAAGCCCAGGATGTTGTATGAACCAAAGGTGGGACTCCTGCCTAGACCGAAGGCCAAAGAAGGCTTCCTGAAGGAAGTGACATCTCATCTGGTGGTACACTGACTGAGAAGAGGGAAAGGGCAACACAGACAGAGGCTAGAGCTGGTGCAAAGGCCTCCCATGACAGGTGGGGGTCTGGGGCAAGGCACAGCCTTCTCAATTGAAGATAGTCATGAGTAGAAGGAGCATGGGATGAACCACCATCCCAGCCAGAGTCACCGATGAAGAGGCCTCAGGAGGGGCCTGACTCAGGATGATGAGTAGGATTCTAGGGAGCTGAAATTGATTTTTTTTTTGGGGGGGGGGGGCACTTTCCAGAAGACTCTGGTCCTCAAACCTTCCGTCTCCAAGCTTGACTTTCCTTTTCCCCTGCAGCTTCTCCGGAGCCCTGCCAAGACAGGCAGATGGCCTTGCAGGAAACCCAGCCCTGCTATCTGGGGCAAGTCTCAGTCCCACTCTGGGTCTGGAGCCTCCAAGTTCTACTCCTAGTCTCAGAGTCAATCAGGACAAAACTGCCTTCACAGCCCCATATTCCCGAGGATGTGCTGCCACCCAGTGGCTATTACAATACACATCTAGAATCCTAGAAAAACAAGGAGAGTCCCTCCCTCTCTAGTCTTGTCACTACCCTGTCCCTTCCCAGCCTGCACTTGGCTAGGGACACCATGAGTCTTTGCAGGTTGTGGGCGGTAGGTGAGGCTGGCTATGTGCATGCCATGCTGCGACTTCATATGTCTGCCTTCAGCAGTCGGTGCCACCCAGCACAGGGCCTCACATGATTACTATCTGACTCACTATCTGGCAAGAAAGGCCGCTGCAAGAAACCAACGGTGGAATGATAGAATTTGGTTCAATTCATCATCAGCTGAGAAGTTGAAAAAATACACTTTAAAGTCAAAAGAATAGAAACAACATAGACAAATCCTGACCAAAAGGGGGGAAATGCCGAACAAAAATTTTGAATTCTCATGGAACTTTCTGGAGCCGTGAAGGCTGGCTGAGCCCCTGAAACTCTTACCCTGAGATCATCCTTAAACCAAAGGTATCCCCTGAAGTCTTCTGAAAGCCAAACAGTACTTGAGCTGAACTAGTAAAGCATTTCTGACTCGAGCCTTAAGTTCTTTTAAGATCTATCTGTTGTTGTTAAATGCCGCTAACTCTGTTAAAACTCATAGCGACTCTGTATAGAGTTTCCGGGAAGCAGCTGATGAGCTTGAACTGCCAACCTTGTAGTTAGTAGTCCAGGGCTTGTCCTACAGCGTCACATCAGGACTATGGGATCAAATTGACAACAGCAACTTCAAAAATTGAATAGGAGCTCTGGGTGGGGTCAGTGAGTGTGTGTTGATGGAAGAGGGACTACTCAGAGGAGGGTAAGAAATTGCACAACTTGAACATGATCATTGTCACTAAATGGTACGTGCAGACACTATTGAATCGATATATGTTTTGCTGTGTGTATTCTTTTTTTTTTTTTTTTAATGTTTTATTGTGAATTATGTGATAGTTTACATGGGAGAACATTGGTTTTACATTCATTCTATCGTATATCGTCTCATAGCCATGGTTACAATCCCCTCCATGCAATCCTTCCCCCGTACCCCCCAGATCTGCTGTGCATATTCTTAATCACAAGGAACTCTGGTACTGCTGTAAGATAAGCACTGGACTGCTAATCACAAGATCAGCAGTTCAAACCCACCGGCAACTCCTCGGGAGAAAAAAGGCTATCTGCTCCTGTAAAGATTTACGGCCTCAGGAACCCTATTAGTCAGAGGCATTGTGATATTCTCAATCACAACAAGAAAATAAATAGGTAAAATTGAAGAGCTAGCAATGGTGACAAGAATAGAAATACTGAACATTTACTATGTGCCAGGCACTGAGTTAAGCAGTCTCTGTTCATTACCTCACGTAGACCTATCAGCAGCCCTTAGAGGTGACTACTGTTCATGTACTTATTCATTCATCACTAGGTTATTTATTGAGCTCTTATTATAACTGTGCCATGAGGACACAGCGGAGAACAAGATGCGCAAGGTTGTGCCCTCAGGGAGCTCAGGTGAGTGGGAGGACAAACGGGTGTATTTCAGTTGGTGACCAGAGTTATGGATATGTAAATGGGGGTGAGGAGGTGTTGGAAGTGAAGGACATTTAGATATGGTGGTTAGAGAGGGTCTCTCAGAAGAAGGGACCAGAGAGCCTCAAAAGGAGATCAGCTTACAAAGACCCAGGGCAGAGTGTTCCTTTGGCAGATATGAGCTGACACCTTCATACCTTCAAGGAAAGGCCAGGGTGGCTGAAGTGCACCAAGGAAGTGGAGGGGGTGTGAGAATAGGTCAGCAGGGACCAAATCACAAGTTCTTGTGACCCCTACTTCCCAGATGAAGACACTGAGGCTCTGAAAGCTTTGAGACATCTCCCAGTTAATTGGTGGTGGGGCCAGGGTTTGAAAACAGCTGTGTCTGGCCCGGAGCCCAATCCAATCCCTGTGCCTTCTGGGCTGTATGGCCATGGGCAGGTGACCCAGCTGGATGAGACTTCAGTGAGAGACCTGCTAGCTCTAGACTCATGAAGAGCACTGGTGGAAACACTGGACAGGACAATGACTGTGTGGCTCTAGGAATGTCACTTGACCTCTCTGGGCCTCAGTCTCCATGTAAAGTCAGTGGTCTCGGAGCCTGAGTGCTTGTTCTTCAATGTAAATCAGATCGTGACACTTCTCTGCTCAAAATGCTTTTCCATCTTCCCACCACACACAAAATAACACCACCCAGGTCCTTAGAGGGACCTGAAGTCCTCTGAGACTTGGGCCTGCTTACCCACCCACACTCTGTTTCAGGCCCTCTTACTGATCCTAGAACACATCAAAATGTTCCCACCTCAGGGCCTTTACATTTGCAGTTCCCTGTGCTTGTAAATGCTCTTCCCCAATTCAACTGTGCTTACTTCACCCAAGTCTCTACTCCAATGTCACCTCCTCAGAGCCCCCAGCACAAATGCAGCCCTTGGCTAGTGTCTCCGGAACACCCTGGAGACACCTTATATAAGAAACCTGACGATTTCTTTCCAGGTGGCCAGTGGTTTGCATCTTATCTGTCTGCCCACCAGGT